TCCATAAGCCAGATTTATTTCATTCCTAGATTTTGCCTTGTAGATGTCATCAATGGTAATCATCCTAAAGAAATTAAAAGCTCTAAAAATTTTCATGTACTTTTATCAATTAAATATTACAAAAAAAAATCATCATTATCTCTTTCCATATATAAAAAGTCATCAACAAAATAGCAAGCTATAAGATGTATAACTTCATTGAATATTTTTCATAATATTATAAGATGACCATGGCATCAAAGGACAAAAATAAAATGTCCTTGTCTATAGAATGGAGATTGCTATATTTCAAATAAATACCGTTTTGTGCAAAAAATGTACTAATGACATTCTAACGTGTAATGGAATTTTGCATTTAAATCATATCTTTGAATTTTTTAAAAATATATTTTAATAATAGAACCATCAATGAATTTGAGAATGAACACATTCAATATCTGCAATCAATCTTTGAATTATGTTAAAAATACAACATTAGCTTGTTATAAATATATATCTACGATAATTATTATTTAGGTAATATGAATTGGTAGAAGTAGGTAAAATTAGATTAATTTCATGATACCTTCTAGAAAAGCTTCTTGGAAGCTTTTTAGATGTTGATTTGACTTTACATGTGTTTGTAGTTGATTGGTAGGTTAAAAACTTGGTCAACAAACTAACTACATGCCACATGTATTGATAGCTTGTAGAACAAGCTAACTATATGGTGCCCATATCAAAAACTTACCTTGTAAGTTAAGATATGTATTATGCAAAGTCAACATATTTTTGGAGGTCCTATAGAACATCACCATATAGATCCCAAGTAAATAGTATATATAGAGGCAAGAGTGAAGCCTTCTTCACTCTTGTCAATTCTTTTTTTGCTTCTAGTCTAGTTTCAAGAGTCTTTAGTTTCCTTGTCTTTTAGCAATAGCCATTCTAGTTTTTTTTTAATATACATATTTTTTATTTCTATTTTATTATATTTTTTTAAGAAAGTTTCATTTATTTATTCCCTTTTATTGAGTTCTTATCCTTAACATAGTGTCAATATAAATAAATGCATGTTTTTATTCTTCTTTGAGTTCATACTTAGATATGTTGTTTTTGATTTGAATAAGTTGCCAAATATTAAGAAAATCAAGCAAATACAAAACATTCCTCCACCTTGCAATCAAAAAATTGTACAAAATATTTCCAAAATTTCTCAATTTAAAAAGACATTTATAAAAAATTTGGTACAAATGATCTTGTCTATATTCAAACTCAACAAATCCAAGTATAAATATAAGCTACATTAACATGCAAAAGTTGCTAAAGCTTTCAAAGAAGTCAGATGCATATACACCAATCATCTAATATTGTTGGCTTTTAATCAATAATTCTTATTTTGTATATATATTAAAATATCTAATTTTTCCATTGAAATAATGCTTGCATAAAATTATAAAAGGAAGGCAAATAAAATTGTATTATATATAGGCTAAAGGTTAAGCATGGCAAATCAAAATTATTCAACGATAGAATGCAAGGCCTTGATAATAGTCTATGCCATGGAAAAATATAAGTATTATTTGGTCTAGTAAAAATTTTAGTTTGTTGTTGATCATCATGCATTATTGCACCCAAAAAATCAATCCATGATTATCAGCTGCATTGCTAAATGGATAATGTTGCTCATAGAATATGACTTCAAATTTGTTTATATTATCAAGAAATAAAACATGATCACTAATTACCTCTTAAGACCTCTCTATATGACACCAAATTTGAATATCAATGAGTTGTTCCTAAATATATACTTGTGCAATGTTGTTGTAGATGTAATCTTGCTCCCGATTTTTGAAAATTCTTTTCAAGATATTGAAGGTGGATATAAATCTATCTTTAGAATTCTATCTTCAAATTGATAGATAAATCAAATAAGCAAATTGAGTTTTGAGTGAGTATTTAAGATGTACTATTAAGTGCCATCAAGATGATTAGATAATATATAATTTTAATTATTTATTATAATAAAATAATATATTTTTCTATTTAATAAATAATTATTTTTTTAATTATAATTATTATGCATAATTTAATTTTTTTGATTTTTTAAAAGTTAATAATATTGCGGCATAAGACTTGGAAAATTATTTATCAAAGCTACATGCAACAACAAATATACAGTTAAAAGAATCTTAAAATTGATTTTAAAAAAAATCAATATAAATATCTAACATAAGGAATAATATCAGTTCTTATATTAATCATAAGGTATGATTACTTTGTCGTAATATTAAAACTAGTCGTCTTTACAATAAGTTGGATTATTGTAAACTATGACCATTTCTTATTTGTGAACAAATCAACCTACTTGCATATTAATTACATCTTTTAGAATTTATGGAAATCTATCATAAGTTTAAAGTATCTCATTTTAAACCATACAAGACAACAGATACATAAAAACCAAAATAAAGAGTCAATCAATTTTTACTATAAAGGAAAAAAATTTTAATAAAGATTTCATATTATCTTTAATCATTGTTTGTGATTTTTTGTATATTTTTTATGCTAAAAAAAAAAAAAAAAAAAAAAACCCAACAATGAGCAAATTCAATTCAATAGCTAGCATTTGTTAAGTTATTAAACAAGGTATTGAGATTAACTCAACTTCTAAAACAATATAATAGAGATGAAGATCCTCAAGAACCATATGTTCTTGTTTAAATAGATGATGAAATATAATATATTTCATATCACAATCTTAAAAGAGACTACCAACGTTTGATAATATTATTAGAGGTAGAAACCACCTATGATGGTATTTCAAATGTTTTACTTAAAGGAAGTTACAAAGACCTCAATAATGATCAAATATCAATATGGTCTTCTTTTCTTAATATGTAATATTATCAATGGTTGAAAAGATCTATCAACTATCTTAAAAAAAAAAAAAAAAAAAAAAAAAAAATCAAGGTGTGTAATAAATATAATTTGTTGCATTTTAGACTTCTTCAATATATGATTATGGTTCATTGTGGAACTTATCCCTAAAAAACGAGGTAATGTCACAAACATACATATTTACCTAGATTAATAAAGCTAATAGAAATAAGTAGAAGTAAATAGATTTGAAAATATCATATGGAAAAACGTCTTGGAAACTTCAAAGATATAGAGTTGACTTTTTACATATTTATAGTTGATTGGTAGGTGTCAAGGATATGAACTTCAATGAATTAAAATAGCAATATATCCTTGTGTCACTCAAAAAGACTAAAAAATTATTCAAAGATGGTAATATATTGAACTATAATGGCTATTGCCAAAGACAAGAAGATTAGAAAGTCTTGAAATAAGACTAAAGACTAGAAAAACATTGAGAAGAATGAAGAAGGCTTCATTCTTGCCTCTATATATACTCTTAAGTAGGAGCTACGTGGCAATATCTTATAAGACCTCTAAAGCATATTGACTTTGCAAGACATATATCTTAACTAGCAATGTAAGTTTTTTATATGTATGCCACATAATTAGCTTGTTTTGCAAGCTACTAACATGTAATTAACTTGTTGACAAAGTTTCTATCCTATCAATCAACTACAAACACATGTAAAGTCAAAACATCTATGAAGCTTCTAAGAAGCTTTTCTAAAAAATATTATGAAATAAATCTATTTTTACTTATTTCTAGTTAATTATATAGATAAATATTAGAATAAATATGTATGTCTGTAATAGTAGGTTAAAAATTTGATGAACAACCTTGCTACATGTTGCACATGTTATTAACTTGTAGTATAAGTTGGCTATTTAGTGTACATATAAGAAACTTATTTTGCAAATTAGACATATGTCTTTTAAGTTGGAAATGTGTTGAAGATCCTATAGAATGTTGCTATTATATATATATATATATATATACTATTCTAATACTATACTATCTTTCAATAAATATCTATAATTTTTTAATAACACATGAATGTATTGAGGATTTTATGGTTTGTAATTCATATCCTTGATATAGTATATTGTTAGTGTGGTATAAAGAAGCATCTATACAATAAAAAAATTAAAAAAAAATATCTATTTAGTAGTTATTTAATAATATTATAGCTTTATTACAAAAAAGATGTTAAATTTGAATTTCTATATTTTTAAATATTTTAATGTAAATATACATTAAAATTATAGAATTGGTGTTATATAAAGAAGTTGCATTGAATAAATATTTTTAATTATATTGATTAATAATTAAAATTAAAATATTAATATAAGGTATAAAAATATTATTATTTTTTAATTCCAAAAAAAGCTTAATTACTAATCTATATTCTTATATTTTGATTGTATGTTGAGTTAGTAAGATACAAGATTAATAAAAAATTAATATTGATAATAATTAAAATATAATATTTAAAATGTATATTTTTATAAAATTTTAATATAAAATAAGAATAAGAATAAGAATAATAATAATAATAACAACAATATCTTTTCTACACTTATATTAAAAACTAATAAGACAAAATTTTAAGTAATTACTAATAAAATGTAAGCAAACATTTTTCTTTGTATATTTTATAATATAAAATTAAAACACATTCATTTTTCTTATACAACATCAATTTGTGACATTCAATTGGATATAAAATAAATGTATATTCCTACCTTTTGTGCCAAGTCTATAATTTTCTTGACTTTGTTTGTAAAAATATATGATACAAAAAGATTTATCCAAAAGGAAATTTATTTATATATATATAGCTAAATAAAAGGAAAAAAGAAGGGAAAAAGAAGGAAAAAAGAAAAGAAGGAAGGAACGCTGGTAGAGGCAGAATGAACTCGAAGAAGCTCCCACATCAATAAGAGTAAGAGTAGGGTGCAGTGCATTGATGAACCCTAGAACCCTGGAGCCCTAGAAATCAGAGATAGTCCACGGCTGAGAGAGAGAGCACAGTGGACTGTCGACGCTTAAAAGGAGTCCAATTTTGAAGAAAAGAAAAAAAACAGAAACGATAAAGTAGGCTCTGGAAAGAAAATATGCAAAGTGCGTTCAATGCAGGCATCCTCTCCCAAACCCTAAACCCTCTCCTTCTGTTCATGGATTTCGAGCATGGCCATCTCCTGTTCCGCGATTGATTGATGGGTGCTTCTGCAACTGGCTGCAGTCACTTGAGTTTCAGCATCGAGCTTCGTTGTGTCGGAGGTTTTTCTTGTTCCACGAGAGTGGGTCGCCTTTGCGTTTGAAAGGTACAGCGATGAGTAGTGGAGTGCCTTCGACGGACGAGGCCCCATGGCCTGTTTTGAGCCAGGAGGCCATCTCCATGTTTGCTTCTGGAGTGCACTCGTGCTTCCTCCGATGGACGGCGTTGCAGCTGGCCATAGAGAATGAGTGGGGTGGGCGGAACTCCAGTCAGAAGGCGGCACAGCTGGAGAATGACATCCTTGCTTGGTTCGTTCACTCCAAAGGTACTACTTGACTGCTTCATCATTTGTTGATTCTGTCACATTTTCGTTGTTGTGCTTTGTTAGTAGTTGGTGCCTCTTTGGAGGATTGCTGCCCTATCGAAATCTGCCAATTAGGGTTGGTGGTTTGAGGCTTAATGACGCAATCGAATTTTCTCAAAGAGTTTTGGGCGATTCTCTTTTTCTGTGATTGAAAATGAACGAGTAGATTATTTTAGTGGATTGCCTCTCTTCTGACTTTTTCAATCTTGTGCATTCATTAATTCAAAACATTCAGCACTCTAAGAATTGGTTTTCGTTGTCAATCCTAGTGAGACGATATATTGATGAATTGGAGGAGCTGTTGGATGACACCATGATTGAGCAATTCAGCATGCAGACTGAAGATGATAGCATACAGGAGGTACGTAATTCCTGTCGCGTGTAGTTCAATGTTAATAGGTTTTTTTGGCCTCTGCCTATCGTCCTTTTTTGTTCTTTTCTTGCTGCAGCGGTTGCTGATGGAGTATCGATTATGTTGCAGGTCGCAGAGCAACTATTTATTCTTCACGAAGAGTGCTCACAAGGCAATTACGAGACTGTTCGTAGTCTTGCAGCTGATTCGTCTCAACAGAAACCTGCTAGCGCTAAGAGTGTAAAGGTATTTGATCAGCTCTCTCTGTTCACCAGATTCGCTCGTACTTTGAGTGAGCCCCATTTGTGTGATATTTTGTTAGCGTTGCGAAAGATGTTAGTTGGCCTTTCTAGTGACGGATCGCAATTGGTAGATTCATTTTGCGTTCTTTTTAACTGTTTCTTTTTTCTTTTTTCAGGCACCCAATGAAGACGGCGAGTCTGACAGTGACGACGATATCATGGAAGAGGACAGTCCATCAGGGGAGGCAGGAGGGCCTTCTGCACAGGGCAGTGGATCTTCTCGACCAGCAGAAAAGGTTTCGACGTTAACAGAGGAGGAGATGGCCGACGGTTGGCAGGAAGCTCCAACCAGAGGCAGGCGGCGTGGTGGACAGCGGTCATGACTTTATCGATAGACAAATGTTAGAAATATATCGTGCTATAGCTGTAATTGCTTTACAATGGCCGTAGCGTCGCCCATGACATGAAGCTGCCCCCCGCATCTTTTACAGAAGTATGTCTCGTGTAGGTGACTAGGGTAAACTAATTCCACTTATCAAAGTCAATTGATGTGTCCAAATTGTGTAAGGAGCTCCGCCATGGCACTTATTAAGTTGTGGAGAGCCCCCTGTATCGTAAATTTTATCTTGTATTCCAGTTGTAAGCTATAATAATTAATGCTTGGATGGCAAGAACGTATTCAGATTTATTATACCATACATGCAGAAACATACACACACAAATTACTTAAACAATTTCTTCCTGACAGGACACATGTTGAAGGTGGTTTCTGTTGGAATCCTTCATCACCCATTATGCTCAGACTAGCCAAAGTTCAAATTTCGCTTTAGGGTGAAACATGCCTCCTTGTGAGGTGAAGGACGAGGAGAATGGCTAGTGTTGGGCTACAATTAGAGGTGGCACCGTTTAAAGAACCTGCAAATATGAAGTTGCTCGCAGACGCAACCGCAAGATTCGAGGCTTCTCATCTTGCAATGAATGGGGTGCGGCGCATCACCCGCCAAGGCTAAGATCACACATCAACGCCAACGATTTCATGCGATTAGCGTAGGCAGCACATTAGCAACCCACACACCAGAAATCCACTTTAAGGCTGTGACTGTGCACTCATCCTCCTAACAAATCGCAGCAGCGCAACCTCCCCATTTGCCATTGTTTCAACGCTGGACTACCGTGTCTGTAGCCAAGCCACTGCCTTCGGCTGCACGGCATGAGTCTTCAAGGTGCTTATCTCAAAACTTGAGTGTAAAGATCCGACCTTGCTTGACAGAGGTGTAGGTAAGCATTCCGTCGCCAACAGATATCCGTCCCCAGCTTCACAGAACAAAGCTTATCCAGTTTTGTACACAATAATTTTCTGTAATTGGGAGAGGAAAATGTTAGAAACCATGTTCAACATGCAAGTGCTTCTGAAACTATTGTGGATTCAAGTAGATATTTTTCGCTTTGAACACTCAATTCGAATTAAATGCAACTGACACGGTTGGCAGGCGATTTCAGTTTACTTTTCCAGTCCTGAAAATCTATTCAGGTAGGGGTAGCTACTTTCAAGTGCTATCCATCACATTGCTGCATCGGATAACTGAGCAGGGAATTCCTCAGGGTGCTCAGGAATTCAGGCAATCCAGGTTTTTCAGGTTAGCAAAAGAGGCCCAGATCCAGCCACATCTATGTATCAGTGTGATGAATTCCGGCTCGATTGATTCTCTTAACCTTCATTATTTTTAATAGAGATAGTTCATTCCCAATCCTTACAGAGACCCATTCTTTTATAGCAACTCCTATCTGTCATGGCTTCGTACTCCATTGGGGATACTACAATTGGGGTCATGCGAATCTGAAGGGTAAATTGTAAAAAGAATAGATGATTTACAATTCTATTATTCTGAAATGATTGTATTATCTTTCTGTTATGGTTACGTCTTTGATTGTGATGTTATACTAACCGATCAACTTTCGTGTTAATAAGACTGGTGTACTTGAAACGTTTATTTGTGCTATTATGTAAAATACTAGGCAGAGCTATTCTATTAGCATGTTCATGTACCTTATTTGCAATGTGTGTTTGGAAAATTTAATATTTAATATCATCAATCTTCTTTAAGATGCTATTAAATGAGTAATATAACACAATTTCATAAAATTAATTATATGAAATATTGTACCATCGACCTAAGCATGTGATGATGTACAAACTTTGTGATTATTTTGATTGGTAGCAATCAAATTTAGCTTATCTACATGTTTAAGCTTTCTATGACAATGCACACATTAACTTGGATGGTTTGAAGTTCAATGTTAATATTCATGTTTTTTACTTTTTTCTTTTTTTAACTAATGAATACACTACTTGCTATGCATTCAAAATACCATTTAAGTGCTCATTAAAATGCTTTACTGCTTTTCATGATAATCAATTGAATAGGTTTTAAGATTATCATTCATTATTTTTTATACTTAACCACCATCATTCTGCACATGAAGTGGCATTCTGCCATAGTAGCATAATAGTAGCAAAACATGATGTAATGAACTGAGACCTCTTTTGGCACCGCATTAAAAACTTCCTAAATCAAATGATTCTTACCAAAAAAAAAACTAAATTTTCACATAACTTAATTATTTCCAAAAGTTTTTGTAAGTTCAAAATTACAATTTTAAAAAATATTTATATATTTTAGAGGCGGTGAGTGTAACTTTGCCAACAGTGAATACATTTCTCATCCTGTTCTTTTTAATAATGTATGGTAAAACAGGTGTTTTATCCGCCCACATATTCACACATGAATGAACTTGGCATAATGCTAAAACAGACCATGTTTGACTCAATAATACTTAATATATATATATATATATATATATGACATATCTTGAAATACGAATGAAAAACAGTTATTCAGAACCTATATGAACGATGACGCTGATGTAGGCCCACTTCCTTGCGTTTATTCCATTCGACTCAAACTGCTGCTAACGATATCCTCTACATTTCCCAATCTACACAAACATTGTGTTGATAGTCGTCATGCATTGAGATGGTTTCCCACTCACCGACTAAGCGTTCCCTGTTCCTGCTGCTGGGCTGCGCAGCTGCTGCCATGAAGAGCCATCATATGCTGCGAAATACCCAGGTGGGTACAACATGAAGAATCATGAAAGCTCGTAAATGCACATGCATGCATGGGATTTGTGCTGCCACCTGCCTCTGCTAATGTTCATGTCAACTGCACCCAGTTTGATTCTGAAGCGCACTGGAGTGTGAGGGGGGCTTGAATAAAAGGCCTTCAATGCAAAGATCCTCACGGAGGTCCACCGACGATTCAGCTCTCGTGGAGGGAGCTATCTGGTAAAGATTCATCTCTGCAAAACTCGTTGCTGGCTCCTGATTTAGAAGCATTGAAGGCCACCATTGGATCACCTGACATGCAGTCTTGACACTGCAGTTGGGTCCTAATTGTCTCACAAGAAGAGGGCCTTGTTGTAGAGATTTCTGACGCGGTTTAAGATGGTCCACCGTGTTGCCATGTGAGAGATGTGAAGCGTGCTGAATGAACAGCGTACTTCGAAGCTAGAAGGGGAATTCTGCAGTTGGAGCACGGCATTCCAGGGTGTGGAGGTGTACGTGAGGTATCAGTGATTAGACGGGAAGCGGAGGACTTGGTTTCGTGAGGAGCAACTTGGAATCGTGGCCTCATTGCTATCGAGATAAGCTAGTCTAAATTCTTCACGAATCCGAAACAACTGTTGTCTCTCGCATATCTTCAACTTGCCGATGTACCACTGGTAAAAAACCATTTTCTGTGATAATTTACTAAATTTTGAGATTCCATTTAGTCCAAGAGCGAAACATCTCTCTTTTGAGAGCGGAGCGGTTGCATGTGCTTACTTCTAAACCGCAAACACGACAGAAAATTTCATGGCTCTGCTGTAGACAATCATCAAGCGTAATTTCGGGATGAGTTTTGAAAGAGAGCATGGACATCACGAGGAAAAATGATCAGAATCGGATCCAAACTTGAGGGTGGGATGCATGCAATTATAGGAAACAAGGAGGAGCATTGATACAAGAGATTTTGAGGCATCGAAATAGGACCGCCTCATAATGTATGCTAAAATGCTAAAATGGACCGCCTTTTCATGATATGTCTTCTCAGATAATGAATTCTAGGGTACATCACATACGCAATTCGTATCTTCTTCTCCATGCTGCTAGAAACCATGAAGTGGAATAGTGTAGAGGCCTCCAAGAGATCACAAGAGAAAACTCTAGAAGAATTCGAGCAAAAATAATCATCAACTGCTCTTACATTTAGGGCTTTGGAACAATATACACACTTATATCTGATTCACCGGCCAACATTTTGCGAACAGTGAAAAAAATATCTAAGAGCTTCGATTGTTAAGATTGGTTGATGACCTTCTCCGCGTCTTTGATATGCACCGGATACTCGTCGATGCAGTGAGCCCAAGGTGAGTGCTCGGAAGGCTCTATGTTACGCAACGCTTGCCATACTGCGCTGTTACACTTGAATCCGCTTCCAAATGCAATCTGCCACACCGTATTTCCCTTACGCATGCGCCCCTTGGCTTCCGTGTAAGCAAGCGAGTACCAGATAGACGAGGAGGAGGTGTTGCCAAATCGGTGAAGCGTCATGCGGGAGGGCTCGCAATGCTCCGGTGTTAGGTTTAGATTCTTCTCCACCTTGTCGATGACGGCGCGCCCACCTGCGTGTATGCAGAAATGATTGAATGCAAGTTTGAAATCGGGGATGTAAGGCTTCACTTTCAGGTTGAACACCTCGCGTGCCACGATGAAGCCGTAGAACACAATCTGCTCCGAGATAGGAGGCACGAGCGGGCCGAGAGTGGTGATGTTACTTTTCAAGGCGTCCACTGCGATTGCCATGAGATCCTTGGAAAGAGACACGCCCATCTTTCCCTCCTCGTCCTGTTCCTGATACGCACACCGATAGCACTTCTCGTCGGCGCCCTTGTGCGTCCTCACCACGTGGTTAAGTTTGTACTTGGTCCGTTTCCTATCCTTCCGCTTGTTCGAGAGCAGAATAGCAGCTCCACCGACTCGGAAAAGGCAATTGGGACCAGCATAGACTTCTGCTTCCCAGTGTAGCAGTTCTGCGTTATGTTTTCAGTGCTGACAACAATGGCGTAGGAATTCCCCTGCAGTTGAAGCATGTCCTTTGCCAGGTCAATCGCAATGATGCTGGCGCTGCACCCCATCCCACCCAAATTGTAAGTCCTTATGTTGCCCCGCATTTTGTAATTGTTCACAATCATGGAGGCCAGGGAGGGAGTGGGATTGAACAGGGAGAAATTCACCACAAGTACGCCCACGTCCTTGGGCATGATCTTAGTCTTCTCAAAGAGCTCGTCCAAGCACCCGAAGATAACGGCCGCGGACTCCTCCCGCGCTGCCTGCGTGCTGATTTTCGGAGGAACATGGAACATTGCAGGGGGAAAGTACGTTTTCTCTCCAAGGCCTGACCTCTCCAAGATCTTTTCTTGGAATTCCAAGCACCGCTCATCGAAATAGCCTGTCTGCCTCGAGCGCTCTATGAACAAGCCCAGGGGCACTTCGTACTGTCCGTCGGGTAGGTAGCAGGAGAAGTCCACCAAACAGATGGGCTGCGGTCTTGACATCACATACATTGTCCCACTGAATACAAGTAAGGCGGAGCAGATGATCACGCTTATGAGGTTGAACTGCATACTTTCCCAGAGCTTCCAGAGCTCGTTCAGTCCCATACGCCGGACCTCTAGAAAAGTGACTAGCAACGGGGGGATGAAGATGAGGATGACGAGGTGCTGGATCAGGTTATGGTAACCCAGCTTCAAGTACTTCATATTAACTTGTTGCAGAAAGTCGGGAAGGCGCCGAGCGGGACTGATGTGGAGAGACAATGTATCATCATGGAAAGAGCTCGACTGGCGGAACCGTGGCGGCTCCATTACTGGTCTCGTCCCCCCTGTCGCCCTTTGTATAAATCTGAGCTAATCTTTTGGCTGTAACAACACAACGTAGAACGCCCGATTCTTGCCGGGTCAGCAATTGTGCGAGGAAAGAATCCTGTAGAACGACACCTAAACTGACATTTTAGAGAACACAACTATATCACTGACCAAAGTGACTCCAGCAAACAAGACCAAGGTCTAAAAACAAAACTTTGGCTTGTTAACGTAGAAAGACACCTGATTCTCATAGAGAGTCTAACAAATATTACACTAGGAAGACCATAGCATACAATCACCTCAATCAAGGTAGCTGGAGCGGAAGATGCTCATTATTCCACCAAAAACATTTGCCAATCCCAAAAAGAATAATCACCCCTCGAACCGCTTGACTCCTCTAAAACAAATACAACCTGCAGGAATCCAAATATACCGCAGCACGAAGCTCCTCGAACCCGATGCACTTGCACAGAGGTCGCTGCCACCGAAGCCCACACTGCAGTACAACGGTCAGCATACAGGACCAGCTTGGATTCGCTGCAGCGCTAAATGCACGGGTCCTATCATTGGAAGGTCATCGACTCGGCAATGACCGTATCATCCCAGCCCTTAATCCTGATTGGCGCAGTTCTCAACACTACTGTAAACGCCAATTCGCTCAATCCTCAATCCTGAGCTACTGCAATCGCATCTGCTCCGTCGTCGTAACTTTAAGCATCCCAATCACTATGACGAGGTGTGTGAGCACTGGTGGAGTCCAGCGATGCCCGTAAAGCGGCTACGCGAACTGGTGGATGCGCAGGCGGAGGCGGGGACGAATTGTTTGTACGAGGAAGCAGCTTTAAATGGGAGGGACGCCGCAGGTCCGTAGCATGCCCGGGTGAACGGAGAGGCGGGGCAACGCCCACAGCCTGCCGCGATTACTTGACTCCCTGAAACAGTCCGGAACTATCCGGCCAATACCAGGGTGCGGCGGTATCTTTCCCGGTACCCGTATGTGCATCCCGCGCTCCACGGATATTACCTGCTTACACCGATACCCTGAACGTGCACCACTGCAAGGTATCATTTCGGACCCACCAGCGATACATCAGCCTCGTACATACAAATTGTATGATGTTTTTGTGGCTTATCTTGTACTTGAATAAGCTAATGTTGGAACCAAATTTAGTTCTTTTGGTTGAAAATTACATGTTCAACATTAAAATCACTTATTTTCTTATTTTAATTATAATCAATAAATAAGTAGATAAATATTATAATGTTTATTTTTTGTAGTTTAAATAATTACTTAAAATTTTAAAATGTTAATAATTCAGTGTACTATATATTTTTAGGCTGAAGATTGATACAGTTGATTAAGGTGAAAAATATAGATAAAAATTATCATTAAGGAGTGTTATTGTAATATGCATACATATTAACTCAATATTATTTTATTCATTTAATTAACATAGAATTTGATCAATTTTTAACAATTATGTTATGTTTTTTAAAAAATAATTATAAATATTTTTATACTGTGTGTTTTAATAAAATTTATAAGATAGAATTTTATTTTGACTCTTTGATGCATAATTTCAAATACAATATTTTAATATTTAATGATGTTTTGTTTGATAAAGCACAAATAATGACATACTTGTTGAGGAAAATAAAATTTAAAACATATATTAAAGGAAAGACAGTGTCTAAATTTTGCATTGAGAATCCATTAATTATTTAGAATACATAAAATTTCAAGTTGGGTCGTTACTAAAGCAACAAGTTGAAAGCTTTAGTTAATAAAATAAAAAAAAAGTGTGAGACTTTTTAGCCTATCGCAATTCATTCAAGTCAATAATAACAATAATAATAATATCAAAAATGATAATTCTTTTCCTAGGTTTGATGTAAAATATCATTAAATAAAGTTTTTATTTGCAAAGAAAATTATTCATAATATATATATATATATATATATATATATATGTATATAATCTTTAACATTTCTAGATTAGTATATTTAATCCGTCTTAGGGTGAACCATTATTTGAATTAATACATACGTATGTATATATATATATATATATATATAAAAATATATGGGTTAACCATTTTTCAGAAAAATATACATATATGTATATGCATATAGATTTGGGTGAATCAATTTCATAAATCTTCAAAATCTTTATTAAGTGATTTTTTTTATCATAATTATAATGCCAAAGTAGATCTAATTGAATTGAAAGTAATTGGATATTTTACCCTACACTATTGTGTATTCAAACTCTTCATGTGAATTCAATTGAGTATTGGAAAATTTTGATCGAATTTTTCTTAAAATACCATATAATCTGATAAAATGATCTACTTGTTTTGGAGTTTATTTATTTATTTATTTATACTCAGTCATGTAATTTAATTTAATTTAAATTTAAATTTTTGCTCCAATACATTTACCATAATCTTCAAAGAAAAATCAAAGACATTAGAAATTTGTATATCTATTATTAAATATCACAGTCATAAATCATGCAACTTTTAACAAGTTAAAAAAAATTAAGAAAAAATGAAAACTAAAGTTTCTAAAATTGTAATTCTTCTGTACAAGGTTTCAGAATTCATATCCAATTCTTTTTGAATTTTAGAAGACTATTTACATTAACCTTTTTCTCGCTCTATCACTTTGAGTTTAACAATGTAGAACAACGAAACAGTTTGGTTTGGCGTTGTGCACATGGGAGTTTAGTTTAGTTTAGTGTAGTTTGGCGTCACATGGATGAGACCCAATGCATCCTTCACTCACCCATCCAACTTCGTGATTTCCATCCACATTATACTTTCCATCTCAAGCTCGCTCAAGAGATGGCTATGGCGGCAGCGATGGTGATTTCATGAAGAGCAACGTGAACACTGAAAGGGGCTGGAGCTATGGAGGTCGGGGAGGTTTCTAGAGACCGGCGCAAGCTCACATACCTTATCGAAGATGCTACCGTTTCGCCTGCAAAGAGCTTGGACATCGGATTGCTGCAGTCCATTAAGGCTTTGGTGCGCTCTTCGGACGCTAATGTCCGCACTGCCTTCGACACTTTATTTGACAAGCTGCAAAGACAGCACTCGCAGGTGTGATATCCTTATTATTTAGAGGATTTTTTTGGTTTCCTCTGCATTTTTTATGTGCGCCATGTGAGATTTAGAGGGGATTATATGCCTTGGTTCGACACGCCTGGTTTGGTGTTGATTCAATTAGGTTAGAGTGATTTAGAAGTGCTTTGCGCTTTTCGTTGGTGATATGGGTTCCTTAAATTTCGCAGCAACATAAGAGTAAGCGATCGATAGGAGTACTTCAGGAGAATTAGGAAGGATTTCAAAATTGAATTCGTGGAAAATGTAGAAACTGTTTTATCTTTTTCATGTTGTGGAATTCTTCTGTGTTTCTGATCCTTTTAACGCGTCCATCGCTATTAGGAATCATCTTTCTTTCTTTTATTTTGATATTTTCAATATTTAGTTGAAAGGAGTCCTAGTGAGTTTGCGCTTGCCTTCGTTTCGATTAGGTAGAGGAAATGTTCCAGAGGATGAGAATTTGGAATCGAGCAGGACCTTTCGATTTGTGAGAATTTTATTTAGCTGTTACATTTTTGTTGATTTCAGGTAGTCTGCTATTCACACGATTAATTCGGTGGAATCAGATCAATGGTAGATAATAGTTGTTTAAATCTCTGATAATCGAAACCCTGCATAATGCTTTTCAATTGTCTGATATGGCGACTTCTGCTAGCCTTTGCCGAAACATTATTTTTGCTTCTCTAGAAGATGCTGATAAGATCTGTCTTGAGACAGGTTCGCTTCCTCGCTGTTCTACTTATTGATGAATTATTCACGCGGTCGAAACTTTTCCGGTCGTTATTGGTTCCGAAATTCGAGATGTTCATGCTTCTGACCATCGGGTATCGAGATGACTTTCCCCTCCCAAAGCCGCCGGATCGAGCTACCTTGTTGAGAACTACAAGCATGGAACTCGTGGAGAAGTGGAACGACACCTTTGGTGTGCACTATAAGCAAGTCCGTTTGGGGTATGAATATCTAAAAAAGACCCTCAGGCTGCAGTTTCCTAATCTCAGAGCAGCAACTGCTTTGGCGGAACAGCAGCGACAAGAGAAAGAAGCAAGAACACAGGTAAGAATTAGCAGGTGGGGGCACTTTTTAGTTCTTTGCATGCCAGACATTTCTCCATGTCCTATCGGAAGTCTTGAGTTCCTGATCAAGTTTGAAGGAGTACCATCATCCTTCTCTCTCTCACTCTCTCGCTCGCTGTGTGTGTGTGTGTATCTATTTTATTCTAGAGCATGATATTAATTTCGCTGACGCATCTGAACTCGAATCTCTACAAATCTTGTACGCAGGCACTGATTCTGAAGAAATACGAGAGTCTGTGCCAAAACTTTTCAGAATTGAGGACTGAAATTCATACAACATTGGATGAAATAGCTGAATGTTGCAAGATACTTGAGCTAGAGAGTGCGTCAGCACTAGAAGACAATGAACCGGTGTTGGAAGCAGATCTGGAGAGTCTCGTATTTGGAGATGACGAGTATGAAGAATATGGTGATTCCAGTCTTCGGCGGGAACTTCACAAAGAGGTTCCGGAACAGGTCGCAGTTACTGAGAAGCTGGTAGATATCTATACTACTTTATGAAGTTTCAGCAATAGCTTGATGTGGTGGTTGTGATAGGAAAACGCGCAATCATTTAGGTGTTAATCGGTAGATTCGATGTACTTGCACAAGTGGCTGACCTTGAGCTTGATTTCGTTTCACACAGCGCATTATTTTCTTCTTTTCACATGGATGGCGTTTAAACTTTGCAAATTGATGCAGAAAGAAACTACTGATAATTCGGCACTTTTTGAAACTCTTCGAGACCTTTACAAGCTAGTGGAATCAAATCACCTTAGAACCACCCAGGAATGGCTATCAATTTTAACGAGAGTGGATGTTTCGGATACTCGATCTCGTGATGCAGTATTGAAAGAGGTGATTGACCTCCGCACACAGCTGCTGGGTTCCCTCGTCAAATGTGAAAGCCTTGGCATTGACCGTACAGAAAAAGCTTCGACAAGCAGGTTCACGGTAGGTGAAGTTGACGACGATATTATTTGGGAGCCAGGAGACGCAGAGGCGGATAAAGACTTGGGCGAAATCGCCAGTACCTCTTATGCTTTCAATATGGAGAAAGGTGAGGTTATTTTGTTTTTTTCGCAAATCAGTTTTTAACAGTTTCGCAAGTAAGTGTCATATTGAATGTGACTTGATGAAAGCGATTGTATTGCGTTGTCCTTGAGCTCATTATTTGGTTACATTCAAAGAGTTGTAAGGATGTCCTTTTGGTCTGTTATTTCATGCTTTGAGTTTATCTACCAAGACGTGACCACTTCAGTAAGTGGAATGAATCAGATAAAAAAATGTTCACCAAGTACTTAGTATGACTTTTGTGTCAGCCATTGTCAATTCTTGTGGCCAATTTTATGCTTATGCAGAATCAAATAACTCTTTGCCAAGCGACAAGGAACTGCATAGTTCAAGTGCAGTTACTCAGTCTGAAGCTAAAAAGGAAAGAGCTGAAACTGGTCCACGAGCGGAGTTGTTAGAAAAAGCTCCTATTCTTCCTTATGGCTCCTTTTTGGACAGCTGGGGTGCGACGAGCGACGTTCCTGCTAATCAGCGAGGCCTAGAAATGGATAATCACTGGGGTAGGTTTGACAGTGAGGCGATGATCCCAGGCGATAAAATTGCGGAAATGAACGTTCGTTCTTCTTTCTACAAGCCCCCCGAAAGAGAAATTGTTCCTTGTAGAGCTCCATTAAAGAAAGGAGGACTTTGCCCCCGGAGGGACCTTTTCCGATGTCCCCTTCATGGACCCATCATTCCACGCGATGACAATGGTAACCCTATCCGAACACTAGAAATTGATACATCAGCAGCCAAACCAGCAGATAAGGCGCCTATGGAGGAGTTTTCAGATATCAACAAGGAAGACTTTCTTTCTGCCTCAAGTTCATCAAAGAATGCGTCTTCATCAATTACTGTAGCCGATTTGGCAAAGGAAGCAATTGCTAATGTGAGGGAGAGGGATGAAGCCGAAGCAAGGAAGAGAAGAGATGAAAAGGTCAAGGCGAAGCGGACACAATCCAAGAGAGATAGAGAACACAATGATGCAGTTCTGAGAGCATCTGCACTATCAGGAACCTGTCAGGAGTTGTTCGGAGAAGAGTTTGACGATGTCGCAAAGATGAGGATAGGAAAGAAGAGAGCACGAGGGGGATTGACCGCATTGCTGAAAAAAAATCCTACTGTCAAGGAACGAATTGCTCAAAGATTGCTCAATGGTCGAGCGCGTGAAAATGCAATGAATGAGCTTGCGAGGGTGGAAGAGGCTAGGCACAGAGACGCTGCTGCTAATCAGTGGAATTGAGGTGACATGTGCAGTATTTGTATGAAAACCTTTGTAGAGCCATGGAGTTCAAGTGGGGATTCTTTCTCAAGATCATTCTCACCTTGTTGAACGTTCCTCGAATCACATTCAGTTCATTGATATTCTTAGTATTCAGTCATGCTTCCTTGAGAGGTACGCGACTTCCTGCTGGCTCGAGCTTGGTATTTATTTGCTTCTTTAACTTAAAATAGCTTATTTACTGCTAATCAATAATGAAGTATTCATTTAATCATTAGATTTATAGAGAATACCGTTCGCCAGTGTGTTCACTTGACGTCTTCTCCAAGTCCTAAAAGCAATATTAGAGCTTGTAAACATTCTCCGTTGATCCTCTCATATATGTCGTCATCCATTTCAACGATTACATGACTTACTGAGTTCATGGACACTCTAGTGATCCCTGGGGTAGACTGTCCCTAACTCGTATTCGGTTTTCATGTGTACTTACAGGTCTAATGCTTACAGTCAGTCTTCACAAACTCAGCTGCTTCTTTTGCAGGAGCTTTGATGATTTATGGATGGCAGCATGAGATTGAGAACCGTCTGAGCAGCTATATCAATTAGGTGGTTGTGGTGTGAGTGAGTGTTCAGGAACTTTAATCGCAACACCGGAAGTTTTTCTTTTCTTTTTGACATATTTCAACACCAAATGTTCATGTCGATCAATTGTTCAACAACTGAGTGAATTCGTAAATTGAGAAACAGACATAATATGTGGTATGGTATGTCTTGGATTCTTGTACTTCCATCTTATATTCTTCTGCATAATTCAGATACCCATCGTAGAAATTATTGGAAAAATATACATATAAGGTAATATTGAATAAAGAAAAGTATGCACCCATCAAACAAAGAAGTTACAAATGTATGATATTTTGTTGAAATTTTTTTAAAATTTGGCCACAAGGACGTCTTTTTCTCAACACTGCACCTTGTTTTGTAAAGGTTTACTACTATCAACTAAATAACCTTTTTATTCAGAAATCTTTCCTTGTATTTCAAAAGTCAGCATGTTATACCGTTTTTTCTCAAAGATTTCTGAAAAATACTGAAAATGAAAACGTATAAATAATGGAAACATCGAAATTGCAGGAGAATACACTATAAAGTTATACATGAATTACTACTTCATAATTATAATACTCATCACATTTCTGAGTAATTTTTTAAAAAAAATCAAAGTTTTGATGATTTATTCTATAAAACATAGATAATGTTGAATTGTGATATCAATGACAATGTCTAATCAGCTTAATTTCAACTTGAAAATATTGATTTTTATATGCACACTACAATTAGGTTTTATTCAACATGTTTTATCATTTTTTTTTTTATAAATCATCTTCAATAGTTTTAAAAGAAAAAAATATTAGTTCATGCATAATTTACCAACAAAAAATGTATTTACTTTTTTTGGTCGGATTTTAATTTTAAATATAAATATTATATTAACTTTATTGATCTTTAAAATATATTTTTTAATTTAATAACTATAATTTTATTTACAAAATAATTTTTTGTATATATTTTTATATATTTATAAAGTGATTAAATTTTTAATTCATAAATTATAGAAGATACCAAAAAATTATAACTAAATATAAATAGTAAGACAAAAATTCATTTTTGTTAAAGTTCTTCATTTGTGATTGGGATTCTAGTTAATTTAGAAGTATATCAATAAGTCCTTAAAAGCTATGTAAAGAAAATTATTTGATGTTATAATATGGATATTGCTAATACTACTATAATTTTTGCTACTACCACCACAACCTTCTATCTACCACATGTCACCTTTGTTTAGTACCTTTTAAGCCATTTGATTGAACATAATTTTTTATTGGAATAAAAAAAGACTAAAAAAAATATGTCAATTGGGTAGTGGGTTGTGGTGGCAGTAGCAAAAACTATTGTGGCATTAACAATACCTTATAATATTATTTATAAAACTTAAAAGGCATTCTTTCTTCACTTCTTCTTATTATGGATATATACCTCTAATCCTTTTTAGATTCTTCTACATTTATTTAGATCTCCTAAGATTATTTTAAAACATTTAAAATGTTTACAATAAAATATAAATCAATCATATTCTTATTCTTATTATTATTATTTTAACTCTTTCTTTTATTTTCTTTTTTAAAATTTTAAAATTCTGTGTTTTGATATATTTGATGAATTTGCAATGATTAATTGATTATTCTCTTATTTTGGACATTTAAAAAATTATATTTTATATTTGTAATTTTTTTATAATATTATTTATTAAAGTTTAGCTTTATAATATAACATTTGAATAAGTGCAATCATAAACTAAATTAAGTACCAAAATATTAGATGCATGTAGAATAAATATTTTACATAAAAATTTAATAAAAATAGACATTAATAAAGCCAAATAGAAAAAAAAAAAAAAATCAATGAAATATATTTTATATAATTTATAATTCAATTAGAATATAAATACTCAATATTTTTTTTAATTGAAAAAACTAAGTGGAAAATAAAAAAACACAAAGATAATAAACAAAAATCCTAATTGGTCTTTTATAAATATTTTTTCATGGATTCACTTATAAATTGATTTATTAGAAAGTACTAATATAAGTGCATTATGATGAAAAATGATATTTATGTCAATATGATGAATTATTTGCTAAAAAAGACTATAAAACATTTATTGCATATAGAATAATACAATATATATTGAAGGATCATAGAAGAATATAAAACAGGCCAAATATGCTCTTGAATTCACTTTAATATTATTAATAATATAATAAAAAGAAAATCTTTCAACACTATAAAATTCTTATTTATCTACTTTTTTGCCTATGTGTGTAATGTTAGAAGTGAATAAATGTTAATTAAACATAGTTTGGTACAATTGGTTGTTGATACAAATGCTTTAACAATGACACCAACTACATCTATCCTATATCAATGTTGTAGAAAAACTATAAAAAAAATATAAGTATACAACATATTTTAGAATGGCTAAATTTGTAGTAAATCTAAGTTCAAACATTTGTTGGTAGAAAGTACAATAAATTTGTAGCATTATTTAGCAAACTTCACTATCATTTAATTACAAAATAATTCTTATTAGAAACAATGCGTACTATCTAATTCTTGTATGAAGTCCTTCTAATGCTCATTTACAGTCTTAATATTTTCTGTAATATAGAAAGCAATGGAAAGTTAAATAATTTTTTATAAAATCCTTCATTAAGTATCTATTATATAAAACACATTATGGAGGGATATAAATCAACAAGATAAATCATGGAGACAAATTAGCCTTTTAATTGGCTATCCTAATAAGCATATCTTGAATAAGCCTTATATACAATGCATTAGAATAGTTCTTGCTTGAAGGGGGTTGTTTAGTAGAGTATGCAATGATTAGGCTTTAGTCTACTATCTCTTTTGGTAATTACATTATTTATGATATATTTACTTTTTATGGTATCTCTCTTATTGCAACTCTAGTCTTACTTCCACTTGCAATTTGAGCTCTCCATAGCTTCTTGACTTACACTTTGTTGATTTTGAGGCTAGCATTGATTTCCAGCTAACAACCATCTCTATGTGAATCTCTATATAAAATACATGATTGGATAACTTAGCACAATTTTTGCTTTCTCATAATTAAACTTTAGAAGTAGTTCATTGTACAAAATTAATTAATTTTTTTGTATATTTTATATGAGAACAATAGGAATTCAATTACTTAAATTTAACTTAGATTTTGTTAAATGAATACAAAAAAACAACATAATACTAAAAAATATTATTTTACATAATCTATTGATTAAACCTATCATTAGAAGAAGTATGAACTACTTACAATATGTTATCTATGCAATTATTTTATTGAAATGATTACAAAGAATAAAACAGCTATATACAAATTTCTTTGTAATTATTTGAAACACATTCAAGAATTTAAGATTAATATTAATTACTTCTTAAACTTTATATTATCTTAAATAATTCAATAATATAAAAATAATCACAAAATGGAACAAATATACCAATACTCAAGCTTAATAAAAGTTACAATTTTAAAGTATATACTCTTCATTCTTCATTTCAATATAGATTGATATGTAATTTCAATATATAATTATGAAATATAAAATTATATAGTTTTTTAAAAAATAAAATAAAGCTAAAAAATATTTCTTTAAGATATATTATTATCAAAGAATTTTTGAGCTAATTTTAAAATAAAATATCTTATCAAAACACAATACAATAAGTGATAAAAGTATATATATATATATATATATATATATATATGACATTATAAACTATTGAAGATTGACAATAAAACAAACTCAAGTGAGTGAATGTCTTATATACTTACTTATAAGAAGAGCTATCTATAAAAAACACCCTATATGTAAAACAAGAGCTCCACAAGTCTTATTCAACTGCCATCCCATTTCTATGGTGAATCTTAATTCTCACAAGAAAAACCAAACTCATACAATAGAAACGGTTGTCATACAATTGCAACCCAAATTGTAAGTGATGAACAATAAGAAGGTTAAAACAAAAAAAAAAAACCTCTCATTTGCTTCAATTTAACACAACCAGATTATGGTGATGAAGCAAGTTGGTAAAGCATGAATTTCGACAAACCGTCATGCATTTCAAGTGGAACACAACTTGTGCACCTCTCCGCAAACAGAGAGGGACACAAGCCACTTGGATTCCAAATTATTAAACTGTGTTTAGTTGCTTGTGTCATGAGTGACAAACAAATCGAGGACATTAACACTTTGCCATATTCAAATACACATACTCTAAATACAACCCAATGGAAATATATAGCACTACAATAACAATATGAAAAGCAGTCTGTACAAGGAAGGTGATAATATCATAGGCGAATCAATGCACAATATTTAAGGTCAACCGACCATAAAAGTATATGCAAAGACCCTGCACAGTGAGAATGGAATAGGGCACCCAAAAGGAAGAAATCATACGAGAAGGATGTCGTCATGGGGCCAACAAGGGCAAGGCAGCTATCCCTGGCCATCGACGGCAAACCCTCAAGCGGGCCCGCCATAAGCCAAGTACGAACGCCAAGATTCCTCATCACACGAAATGCGACGGGATCTTCCCAACCGAGAAGTCGTCACCCCTTCCGGATTCCTGGAACCTGCCGCAGTGCCCGACAATGAATGAATGACTTAAAACGGAGATATTACGTCGTAGGATAGGGCAATGATCTTCATCCACAAAACAAAGAGCCCTACACTCCCAATTTAAACATTGCTAACAGGTGACGAGGTCGAGCGGTCGCAAGCAGTTGCAACTCCATCACCCCACAGCTACTCGAGTGTGGAAGCCCCCGGCAGCATTCACTCTCCAATCTTCAGAGTTGATTGCCCCCATCAAAAATCAACGAAAAACATTGAAAAGACCATTTCGTAAGTCAAGCGAGGCTTTATTTGTTGGTGAACGTAGCAACGACTTTGGCCAATGAGAGGAAGGCTTCTTTTATCTCTTTGTGGGATAGCGAGGCTTCGTTCTTCTCACTGTTGTGTAGATAGGGCCTCCCTGAATTGTTCTAGGCTAAGTAGCAGTGGAGCGTATTCTAAAACTCAGTAACAATGAATTCTGAAAAAAGGAACATTGTAGTTGTAAGGGCGCACCAGAGCGCATGGAATGGTTGTGCGAGGAGGGGAAGGGTT